ACCACGGAGTCCAACAGACAGGGTTTCTGCAATCTTCTCTTTTCTACCTACAGACAGAAACAGAATTCATCTTCCGAAAGTAATTTTATAATTCACAGATTGGATAAAACTCAAGAAAACAGTTTTACAGATTACAAAATGAGAAGTAAATATACATTTTGTTGGCACTTGTGGACTCAATGTATTACAATGCAGTTCCATATTGGACTAGTAGCAGCTCTGTTACAGTGGCAACACATGAACATTACCACAATACAAATTAATAACATTCTGTACAACAAAATGATTCCCAGTTCAATTATATTTTATAAATATCTACTTTCTCCTGAAATCTCTGAATGCCAATTAATTATTTCACTAAATCTTTGGTTAAATAATAAGACAAAAACTTACTGGTCGTAGCATCCATATATCAACCAGTCTTTTAAGATCAAATTCCACTGAAACTTGTACAGTACAGCACAGAGTAGAAAATGCTTTAGAAAGTTTCACAACAAATGATTGTGACATTCAGAGAGAAATTTGTCCAAAAGAAACATATCAGCACTCACTGTACAATAGGTTTCTAAACAGAAACTGGCTTGTCTGCGATGATTTTCTGAATCACCTTACAAATGCTTATCAGCAGTGAGTAATAATAGAATGAAATTAATATCACACAGTTTACAATGTAATTTGGTATAGCCGACTAGCTTGACTGCTGGCCTCACGTTCACATGCCTAAGCAGAGGTGAACGATCATCCAACCAGATACAGGGTGACGTGTGGTCAGCACGACGAACCCCCAGCCATTGCTAGCTTTCCTGACCGGATTACGCTACTCATTGTAGCTCCCCAATTTCCTCACGATGCTGGGTTGGCACCGGTCCCATACACCGGTCGAAAGCTCGTGAGAAAATTTCTTCCCCCCCGAGACTCGAACCAGCGCGCATTCCGTATCGCCGGTCCGGAGCATGATTTACAATGTAGTTATTCCTACCTAATTTTATTTAAAAATAACTGCATTCAGTTACTATTTGCATTGTATCTTCTGGACTAGCATAGTAAATGTGAAAAATTACAGAACAAAAATTGCCAGGTTGTGTGCAATTACGAACAGTATAAATATGAAAAATAAATATAACTGGCATATACACAGGAATAATATCTGTGCATATAACGTAAGGATACTAGAAGTGGATTACCATCACATAAACAAGAGTTGCTCCAGTTTACATTGCATATATAGGCAAAGTGGATTGTCCTTGGAAGATTCTATATCCTCAGTAGGTACACATAAATCACATAAATCAACACAACACCACAAGAAGAAATGATGTAGCACGTCTGAAAAAATTTTCAGTCCAAGTCCAATTTAAATCTATCCACCGTTTAAGCACGCATTCTATTTAAAACACCGAGTCCGGCATAGTAAGAACCAGCACTAATTGCAGAGACAAAACACACAGCATGCATACAATGAAAAATTATTTCATTTTGTAATGGACTAATTAGGGGTAGGCATTAGAAATGGATTAACTGCACAAAATTATCTCTTATGTGCTAATTTGAAACCCATACAACATCCAACCTAGAAAGGTCATCTTAAAAATGAAGACGTAAATAAATTATAACAAAAATTAGCAATTAATAAAAACTGATGTGATGAATCAGCATTATTATTATTATTATTAGTGTTCTGTCTGACGACAGGTCCATATACTATGAACAGGGTCCTTCCATCCTCTTCAGGTTGTCAGGGACCCGTTCATACATATATACATTCTTGGCAGATGATCAGAAGTGGTTTGCCATTGCCTTCTTCTGTGTGTGAATGGAGTAATTGTTGGGATGCCACGGAGAAACCGGGGAAGCCCCCGGAGGAAAACTCCGTGATACCTAGACCACGGCCTTACCCAACACAAGTTATAAATCTGAGCACCACCGGGAATTGAACCCGGGACCCCAGGATTACAAGGCTAGTGTTCTGACCGCTAGACCACATGAATTAGAATCTGTACACTCTTCCTGAATTTGAGTGGTGACAGAATGTCTTCGGTATATCACGTGGCAATTTTTGTCATTATTATAGCATTAATTTAAATATACAAAATGAAATACCAAAAATTCTTCACCATGGAATGTTGTTATAATATATTATTTATAGCAAAATACCACTCACAGGGCTGTCATTTTGTTTCTGTATGAAACATATTTATGCCACAGTCCACATACTCCTTTACTGCTTCAAGTTTTTACTCTGGTAAATCTTCTTCCTTAAGATACTCCAGTGAGTGAATATAATTATAGTAATATACTTCAAAATTAGATAAATTGGTTACCACAAAGCCTATTAAATTAATGTGGTTTTACATCTGCTCATAACCTTAATTATTTATTTTAGTGATGCCCTGCAATTATGTTTGTCAAAAAAAGAGCAAATGCACTGATGGGGAAGGAGCACCAGACTCTATGAGAAAAGAGCTAAAAACTAAAATTTGCCAGACCTATCAATTGTAGCCTTCTGGGTTTTGATTCTATACATTCTTCTACATGACCACGAAAGTTCAGGAGGAACACGTCACTTCCACCCTGATGATGGAAAAAATATGCTCATTCAAAGTATTAGTAATTACCTACAATACTACTCAATGTCACAACCAAGAAGACCACAACCAACATCTTCATCTGTATGATGTGAAGCTTTCATGGCAACTAAGTATAATAAATCTTTCTCGAGCTACCCTCAGTACGCTGCAGATAAGGACAAAGAAAGTTTGAAAAACGACGATTTCTTTTCTCTTTCAACTACCTAACATGGCTAATAGCCTGAGAATTTATTTAACACCTTCATCGCTGAAACAACCACAAACTTTTCAGACTGTCATCTCTGATTTTTGAAACCAAAAACAGATCAGTTAAAAACAATGTTTGAATTTTCTCAAAAAAGGATTACATGCACACTATATAAAATCAATACATAAAATACACAATAGTGTTTTACCTTCCCTCCACATCCTTTCCCATTCATTATTCACTATCTTCCTCTCATTCAATAGTATGTAGCCTGAGCATTGTTAAATACATAAACTATAAATAAATAAATAAATAAATGTTTAAAGTATATCACCCTTCCATTACATTAGGATGGGTTTTCTTTTCATAGGACAGATTCCTTCAAATGACAAGAAGAACATTTATAATTACTTTGGATGTACCAGGTACTTTCTACTTCACCAATCAAGAGTATATCAGCGAGCTAAGATACATAATTTGTAAAAAAAATCACCTTACTATTTGGGAAACAAATCAGAAATATGCAAGATTTGAGGTTTTCACAGCGGTGAGTATGAAGATTTCTGTCTTCTGGGTTGTTGCGCTGTGTAGTCTGACCGATGTTAACCGACGTTTCAGAGGTCATACTGCTTCCGTTATCATCGCTCTGATGACGGAGGCAGTATGACCTCTGAAATGTTGGTTAACATCGACCAGACTACACGGCGCAACAACCCAGAAGTCAGAGATCTTCAAATCAGAAATAGACATATACTTGATGCAGTAATGCTAAATATACTAAATCAGAACAAAACAAGGTCAAATATAGTAACATTTAATTGTTCATGACTTTTTACGCATAATGTATCCTTGTTTCTGTAGCTCTGAATGTATACAGGGAAGGCAGAGGTAACGTTCTAAGCATTTTTTAACCATATCATTAGAGAAAGGTGAGCAGTCAGCTTCGTACTAAAACTGCTTTCCATCCCTGGGCAAAGAGATCCCAATACACACTTGGGAGTTGTTGGGTTCCAGAGCCAACAACATCAGTGTTCAAACTCCTGGCTGCATGGGACTCAAATTCTCTTTTCTCACTAGTACAAATTTATTACTACAGTTCAACGCCTATCGCTTAAATTATAAATTTGTTAATGTATAATGCAGTCAATCAATATACATACAATTTTTATCCCAAAGTAAAAAATGAACCTGGGAGAATTTAGGATTAAAAGACCTATTGTTTTTGGAAAACACAAATGCACTAATTCATGTATCCATCTAGTATGTAAGTACGAAGGAGTACCTTGGAAATTACATAATGAGAACAGGAGAAAATCACACAATATAATAATAATCCTCTCAATCATCTGCACACTTAAAGACCTGGGAGGGATAACTTTCAGAAGACTTTCTTCTATCAGTTACTGGTGGGGTATAGGAAAGAGTAATATCTCAGGATTTTGACCAAGACGAGATAAGGATATATCAGGATCTTCCTCGCGTTCCTCTTCATCTTCTTTTCTGTTCAAGGAGATGCTTTCAACATATGGACTGGGCAGCTGCTTGAGGTTTGAGATGTCCTTTTGATCAGATTCCAAGCCAAGACTGTCATTCTTGCTATATGGAACAGCACAGAAATTGTACATATACCTCTTGTTCCGACTGTGAGTATTGCGGTGTCTTGTCAGCTTATCCTTGCGGCAGAATGCCATAGCACACAAGTCGCATTTATATGGTTTAATATCAGCATGGGTTTTGGAGTGTCGATTTAGTTCAGCCTTTGAAAAGAATGACTTGTAGCAAATAGGACAGCACCAAGGACGTTCTCCTGTGTGGCACATGGCATGTCGAGCAAGTTCATCGCTACGGAGAAATGTGGCAGGACACAGTTCACAGGAATGATGTCGTTGTTCAGCGTGGATCTTTTCATGGCGTGTTAATTTGTCTCGCCGTGAGAACCGCTTCCCACAAGCACTGCACCCAAATGGGCGTTCACCCGAGTGTACCTTTTCGTGCCGAAGTAGCTCTCGCCTGCGGACAAATGCCTTGGAGCACAAATTACAACGATGTGCACGTACACCTGTGTGTAACTGCATGTGAGTCCGCAAATAAGCACGATCAGAAAAAGATTTGAAGCATACCTCACACAAAAATGGCTTCAAATTCCTGCCATCTGCAAGAACATTTACTTCAAAAGACTCCTTGTTTCTCATGAAGACAGCACCAGGTAGTGATAGCTTCTGGATGTCCTGTGCATCAGTCTGTTCCTTGACATCCATCTGATATGGGTCTACATTCACCACTACAGACTCAACATTGGCTGTTTTTTCCTGGGAACTCTGATTATGTTGAGCATCCTCTTCTTGTTTTACATGAGATTTCTGTGGGAGCAAAACCAAAACACACAATAAAAATTCCACTGCATTTCAGAACGTTGCACCATATTTTCAGTCTAAAACTATCACAATCACAACAGCATCGAACAAGTTACAGTAGCAAATTTACTTATTAGATTACAAATTTGCATAATGATAATGATGAAGAAGAAGAATATGATGATGATTATGACGATGACAACAACATCAATAACAGTAAAAATAATAATAATAATAAACAATTTAAAAATCATAAACATTTAAAACGAAGAAAGAAAAGAACTCTACGGCAAAATTACAAACCTCAAAAGAATAAAAGCTACACATAAACATTTTTGCCCTAGTGAGGAGGTGAACTCATAAACTTTCTTATTGAGAGGCATTCATTTTGAACTGTGATCTTCAGGTTATTGTGCTGTGCAGTCTGCTTGCTGTACATAAATATTCTGAAGAAACATGCTGTTTCCATCTTCAAAGCACTAAATTCACACATCTCTGAAAACATCAAATCCTACAATTTGTAGGCCTGTTCATGCCTCAAAACTTAAGCTACAGTAAGTACAGTAAGTACAGCATGACATTTCTTGAATTCAATAGATAAAACTTAGTGCTCACTCAATTATTCCACAACCACAATGTTTTCTGTAGAGCAGGAACTAATGCTACACACACATTCATATAAATTCATCAACAATCTTGGTAACGTAACTACCGAGTATATTTAGAACATTAAGCCAAAGAATATTCATAAACAGTATAAATAATGCAAAATATCTGCTCAGCTAAGGAATGGCAGTCCAATTTTGACCAGACTTTCTTCATCCAACAAAATGCGACATGACTTCGGAAAAAAGAATATAAGAAAATTATTGATTCAAATCCTAATGCAGTTTAAAGCAATATAAGTATAAAATGAATGAAGGACAACACAGAATGCTGGTAACACAGTTTTTACAAGTATCTCTTAGAAGACTATAAGAGGCTGGGAGGCAGATGCAGGAATAACTTAAAAATAAAGATTCACACTCATATACTGAAATAATCCCATAAAAATGATCAAATGTATTACTTCTTTTGCCCAGATCAAATTACACAGAAAAACTATAATTTTCACTGAGATTGATGATAATGGTGAAGATGATAGTGTTCTGGGTTGTGAAGGTCTCCGGCCTTCGGTCGGCACAAGGCTTTTCCAAGTTGCCAAAATAAGGGATTCCCCACATCCGCTAACTTTGGGTCGAAACTCTCGGTCAATGCTCTGATGTGTTATTTACAATGCGAAGACACTTGGATAGTAGCACTTGCAACTTTCTGAGGTGATTGCAGGCAGCAGATGAGCTGTACAGCAGCACACCATTTCTGACAAACAGGTTGCTTCTATTAAGGATGGGGCAAGCAAGCCCAATCTTTGATCTGCCCTCTTCCCCACCTAAGTGACGTGCACCGACCAGGAAAGCTTAGTACCAACGGTCACCCGAGATACCGTACTGTTTCGACCCACTGCATTGTCTCTCTGAGAAACTGCAATGCTTTGGGCCTTAACAAAGAGCACAACAGCGCTCTTCGAGACATTGATAGCAATCCTCAAAGTACGTAGCTAGCGCTCCAAGTCGACCGTGATAGGCCTCCGGATAACCGACAAGTCCGCCTCGATCAAGGGAAGTTTGGACTAAACGAAAGATGTTACGAGCTTCACAGGCCTCGTCGCCAACATCACTGGAGTTAGAGCAAGCCAGCAACACTGTTTGTCCCCCGTCCTAGGCCTAACACAGACGCTCAGCTATGAAGAGGATGGTAGTCTTAAGGACAGCTAGGGAACGAGTTCCCCTTTTGGGAGGAAGGTGACCGTGGAGAGAAGACGGTTTGTCAACTCCAAGCAGACTTTTTTGGCAGTTCATCCAGCTAGGAGACTATGTGCCATGAGGGTGGTAAGTCAGCGTTTTGGAATGGGATTCGTGACAAGCGAGCTTACATTGGCCGCCAGCTGGAGCAGCCCGCCGCTCAGACCGTCTTCCTGTGAAGTGGGGTAAGTTTGGGAGGACCCTGAGCCTTGACGACGAGGCCACCGTCAGCAACGTGGTTCCAGCCATGGACCACTTTCTCCTGCTTGGGAGGCTTAGCTGGGTGCGACTTGGGCGCTGCCAAGCGGGACTATGAACCTAGGTGTGTGGATTGCGGAGACGCAGAACTATGAGGGAATTGTGGCACACCAAAGCAGCACCCTAAGAGCTGCAGGTGCAGAGACAACCACACTGCGAACTATCGCGCTTGCTGCAAGTGGAAAGATGACTGATGTTAAAAGCCCTCAGCTCGAGGCATAAGCTTGCCTACGTTCTTCAACAAAAGCAGCACGCATCGATTCTGTGTGTACGGAAGAGTGTAAGAACTCACACCCTCTCCCACATCGAGGGATCGCGGGGCACCGAGTGGCCGGGAAGCCATCAGAATCTCTCCTTTCATCTGGGTTATGAACTTGCTTGATGACTTCGAGCGAGTCCAGTCCGGGGATCTGAGCGTATTTCTTGCCCCAAAAACGTAAACCGGTGTGCTGTTGCGTCATTCCCCGGGAGAATGGATTTGTCCACTTAGGCGGTAAATGTGGTAATCAAGCGTTAAATTTGGTGACGACGAGTACAGTACTGAAAAATTCCTCAATTTAAGAAGTGAGAATTTTCATGAAGATTTCATCGCCCTGATGACGGAGGCAGTATGACCTCCGAAACGTTGGTAAACATCGACCAGACTACACAGCGCAACAAGCCAGAAGACAGAAATCTTCATGCTCTGATGATGGAGGCAGTATGACCTCCGAAACGTTGGTAAACATCGACCAGACTACACAGCGCAACAAGCCAGAAGACAGAAATCTTCATGCTCTGATGATGGAGGCAGTATGACCTCCGAAACGTTGGTAAACATCGACCAGACTACACAGCGCAACAAGCCAGAAGACAGAAATCTTCATGCTCTGATGATGGAGGCAGTATGACCTCCGAAACGTTGGTAAACATCGACCAGACTACACAGCGCAACAAGCCAGAAGACAGAAATCTTCATGCTCTGATGATGGAGGCAGTATGACCTCCGAAACGTTGGTAAACATCGACCAGACTACACAGCGCAACAAGCCAGAAGACAGAAATCTTCATGCTCTGATGATGGAGGCAGTATGACCTCCGAAACGTTGGTAAACATCGACCAGACTACACAGCGCAACAAGCCAGAAGACAGAAATCTTCATGCTCTGATGATGGAGGCAGTATGACCTCCGAAACGTTGGTAAACATCGACCAGACTACACAGCGCAACAAGCCAGAAGACAGAAATCTTCATGCTCTGATGATGGAGGCAGTATGACCTCCGAAACGTTGGTAAACATCGACCAGACTACACAGCGCAACAAGCCAGAAGACAGAAATCTTCATACTCACCGCTGTGAGAACCTCAAATCTTACAAGAATTTTCATGTTCAACAACCGGAACAACTCTTTTATTTTATATTATTCTAGGGCCATTGTGACCCAAAAAGCAACTACAATATTTATAGAATTTCATATCACGTCAGGAGTAAGCTGCAATGCGTAAGTTCCTCCCTAGAGATCAAATTACTTTTTGGCCGTGTTTCCTGAAAGTAAAACAAGCCAACTTGAATCGGAATAACCTGATGCTTCATTCAAAAGTTCTAGTTCCTTCATGAGACACAGCAACCTTTTAAATTTTAGCTGGCTGCAACGTGATATACTTCCAAGACACAAAATTGTAAAGGGACACTCCAGTGGAGTACACATACTTCCCAAACAGTTTACGAGTTTGAATCTATTATTACAAAGCTATTACACGATAGTAAACTCCCGATTATCCGTGCAAGACGTTTTTACATAAACTTATACGTTCACTACTCCATACGTCTCCATGGTTATGTAATTAAGGACTAGAATAACTTTACCTTTAACCGTATTTTCAATACCAATTGCTTTTCAACAGTTCAACATAACTCACTACCACAAAATAAGACAGCTTTTACTCACTGCAATGTGTCTAGTAATAGTAATGTTTCTATCCAGTGTTTATATTTGACGGTTATGTTCGTAGACCCAGATCTTAACATCATGTAATATGGCATAACTACGTGATTGGTTCTATTGTTCATTACAAATTTCAGTTCCAAATTCTGAAGTTTGTAATGAACAAATAAAATTATTTCTTGGAGTTCCCATCCCATCTGGATATAATTAGTTACCACGTACAGTTGTAGTAAGATATCACACTTTGTGAGGTTTGATAATACTGGCAATTTAGTTACACAGATTCCAGGCAACGAGAGGCAATGTTGTGCTGGAGAAAACTGTAAATCTGTTAGAAGCATAGCATGTGTTAAGTGTGACATGTCATGTATAATATAATTTTGTGAAATAAATTTATTTTTACCAGTGAACATTGTACTAACATTATTTGCAATGTTTTGATTTTGTACGAGCCTAGCGCTACGCCTTGTGCAAGGTGACTTAAAAGTCATGAAACCCATATTAAAATATATAATTATGGTTGCAATTCAATAACATTCAACTTGATTAATCAAATGCTGACTGTACAAGGGTCCACACAGGTCACATCATGTTGTAACCTGCTCATGCCAGTCTGTCAGTTGTCTTCAAACAGTTGAAGTGCAAGGATGTCTTTTTCACAAAAGCAAAAAGTATTCACTGTCAAAACTACATGACATCTCATTCATTCTTACTTAATTTGTCAGATTAAATTTAGGGACGCATTTCCCAATTTTTCTGTGCCAAACAAATCAACAGTATCTCATCTGGTAGACCATTTCCATGACACAACAACTCTTCACCAGGTTGCATCAGACACAAAAAAAAGAATGAATGCACGCATCGCTAAACGTGGTGGACACTTCCAACACTTAATATAATAGTGCCCTTGTTTTCTGACTTCAAAGCAGTTTATTTTTTGACAAATAGAAAATTGTCAGGAACAGGTTGACTTTTTGATCA